TATTGTTGTTACTACTGTTGTTGCTGCTGTTATTGATTGTTGCGGTTGTTGTTGTTGTTGTTGTTGTTGTTGTTGTTGTTGTTGTTGTTGTTGTTGTTGTTGTTGTTGTGTGTGTGTGTGTGTGGTTTCCTACCTGCTCGAAATTTTTGGAGCCCAAAGAGCGTGCTCTTCGCCAGGACCACTGCCTCTCTTGGGTACGGATGAGGCAGTCCAACCTCCCTGACTACGCCTCTCTGCAGCCAGTGCTCCATATCTTGGGGCTCATCGCTGCACAATGGACAGGTTGGGTCCGACGCTTTGTCTATTCTATTCCTGTAGGCCCGCAGCCCAGAGAAGTGACCGGTTCTGATTTTTTGCTAGTATATGTAGTGACTGGTCGCTGCGGTACTTAATTTGAGCCTCCCATTTTAAAGGAAATTGCCCGTATATTTCCTTCGTCCGCGTTTGGGATATCGGAGAGTCTTTTGTAACCAGTTTTATCTGGGCGCACGCACTTTCATATCATGCCATATGACGGCCTGGACACAGCCGCGCTGTTGCCTCTTTGGCATTACGGTCAGCGAGATTTTTCGTTTGACCTGCATTTCTCTGAGATATTTTAAATTCTTTTTTTTTTCTTTTACGTTCTCTTTATGACCTTTCAGTTTTTGGGATACTATTTAAATTGTTTTCTCTAAGTCTCCTCATAGCACTCAGGGGTATGGAGACATGGATCAGTGATCGAAATGACAACAGAGTGTCTGGGGAGTATGTTGTTCTATTTTCTTCTTCAGTGAATACACTGTGTGTGTTAAAAACCACAAGCTGGGTGTCCATTTGGGAAAAGTGTTCACTTGTCAAAACAATATTTTAATAAAGGGAGACCTGGGCCAAAACTGATCAAAACACGTAGACCAGCACTGATAACACCAGTCCACCAACACAGAACAACTGAACTAACTCTTGTAATTTTCATTATTTCAAGGAGAAATGTATATCACATTACAAGTAATCACAGAAACTTAACACACATGGTGATATAACTTTTTGAAACATCCAGGAATTAAAACAGTCAGGAACACCACAAATTTAGAGGAGCACAGAAGACTGCCTGTTTGCGCGATTATTACTCACTACTCACTTCTGTGTTTGCTGTTGTTGTCAGCGTCGTCAGTCGTTGGACGTAATGCTGACTCAGCTTTATAACGAATTGAGGGGAACGACAAAACACTGAAGAACAAAGAAGGAGAGGAAGAAGGAGTATAAAGGTAACGATCTTAGATAGATATATCGCTACCCTAAAATGGCAAAGTTCTGTCTGCTCAGTACCTAGGTATGATTGAGAAATTTGACCTAAATTTTTTAAGTTTCCCAATATATCAAGCTTTTTCAATTGCAATTCTTTGAATATCTTGATAACAACTTCGAATAATCTTACGATTTTGATGATAGAGCAGATAGAACGTTTGGTTTCTGGCCTCATTTATATTAGTAATTCAAATTGGCCAGAAATGTCAGATAGATCTGTGTAACTCTAAGGTAGCAATATCTGAATTACTTATTGCCTTGTGTGACCATAGCGATAATGAAAACTTGAAGATCGATATAAAAAAACAACATCAAAACAAAAACAACAAAACCCAAAACAAGACAACAACATAACGCATGTCAATTAATTTTTAAGATGTGGTGTCTTTTTCGTTGTAATGCGCATTGAGCATCTTATAGAAAATGGAAATGCGCAGTATAAATGCTATTTATTATTATTATTATTATTATTATTATTATTATGATTATTATTATTATTATTATTATTATTATCATCATTATTATTATCATTATTATTATTATAACACCAGCCCCTCTTAGGTCTCAGATATGGGTGGCTTTTGGTTAGTTAGTTAGTTAGTTAGTACGTTAGTTAGTTAGTTAGTTAGTTAGTTACTTAGTTAGTTAGTTAGTTAGTTAGTTAGTTAGTTAGTTAGTTAGTTAGTTAGTTAATTGAATAAATACATGCCCCCACCCTCACCCCCTTCCTCACTCCACCCCACCCCTTCCACACATCAAAACCCATTGGGCCAAAAGGACATTAGTTTGTATCCTTCATGATCTATTCTAGTTGTCTCCCCTAGTAGTATGTCTGCCCTTAACTACCAACATCTTTGGTGTAGCAGTTAGGCTCTTCGCTGTCGCGTGCCGGAGACCCGAGTTCGTTTGATTCCCGAGTGGGGAGAAATGTTTATAGACAAGCAGTGTCGGCAGCTCGCTTTCTAAGTGTGACATAAATTGTGTTGATGGGGACGCAAAGAAAACACGCCTTGTTTAAGAAAATAATAAACCATTAAAAATATCTATATCTGCATTATAAGGCTATGCAAACGAAAAGTCAACGAGGCCCAACCTACGCTAAACTATTGACACCGCTAATAAACGAGCCAGCGAGAAATAAAATGGCATGTAAATTAACGAAGGAAACGCTTTCAGTCGAAGGTCTTCAGATTTAACAACTATTAAAATCAATTATAGGCTGTCAACGATGTCAATATGTCTAAGATGTATTTTCTTTTTCACCCCTCCCCC